ACCTTTCTCTTTTATGAATATGGTTCATCATCCTTTTGATAATCTCATTTTTACCTTCATTTTTTTCAATATATTCCATTTTATTCCTTTATAATAATCAAATGGGATTTACAACTTGTCACTGACATGTCAGTAGATAACATTTGAGTTCATGGATAACTTGTGAAGGAAGAATTTTGCTCCTTTAAAAAATAATTTAAAAAAAAATACCTCACTTATTAGTATAAAATATTCAACACCCTCAAATGAAAGTATGGTGAAAAAATATATTTTAACCCTTAATTTCATGTTTCAATTTTATCATAGTTTATCTATTATAATTTGAATTCTTAGCTATCAATTTATTATGATTATTAATTTCAAAAAAGGATATATTGAAAAGTTACACATACATACATACATACATACATATTACAATTTTAAGGATATAATTAAATTTTTTTAGTAAACATGAAGTTGATTAATTTTATCTTTTCTTAAGAACTGGCGTAGTGTTTGCTATAATTGTGTGTAAAAATGTATGTTACAGTTTTAATTATTTTAATACAATATTCATCTTTTAATTAGTGCATTAATTGTGGGAGACAAAGGTAAGACGAGGGGAAATATTGACCAAATGATGAAAGTTAAAAAATGAAAGAGTTTTTGGCCAAAAAGAAAAAAAAATGAAAGAGTTTGTTGAATTGGGCACAAAAAGACCGCGATAAAATTTTTTCATCATTTCGTCAAAATTTCTGAACAATTTAGTTGATTGTTTCAAATTTCGATTAAATGATGAAAAATAAAAAGAATAATAAAACTTTCACTGTTTCAAATTTATTCTATAAATTTATTTTTACCAATTTAATTCTTTATATTTTATTAAATTATTATGTTAGTCCTTTAATTTTTAAAAGATAAATTGACTCTTAAATTAATATAATGTGTAAAGAATATTGATAGCTTAACATGTATATGTAGTTAAATAAGAATACATTAGCTCTCAAATCAATTTAATAATTTTATCAATGTAGTCTCTCACACTAGCTTCGGTTTTTTTTTTAAATTTTTAAGTCTATTTTTTCTATTTTAATAATTATCTTTTATTTATTTATTTATTGTCATTTAAATTCCTAAACAACAATTGATTGCCATCGTCAATTAAAAGAAAGGTAAATTGAAAAGTTTCAATTTTTTTTCATAATTTCAATGTTATAACTAACATTTATTAATAAGCATGAAGTTTGTTAACTTCATCTTATATTTAAGATCAAGTAAAATTTTTTAGGTGAAATGTATTTGCCTATTTCTACAGTTTTACTTAATTTTGAATTAGGTCAATGCAATTTATTTTATTTTAATTAAACTCTTATATTTTGATTAATTAAATTTTTAATCCCTCAAGATTAAAATCCTTAACATTTTCCTTTAAAAAAACAAAATTAAGTACTTTTATATTTTTATTAAATAATTATATGACTTTAGAATTAATTACATAATTTTTATAACTCAAAATTTATATAATTAGGTTGCTTTTAAATATTTTCTATACATATATAATTTTCATAAAAATTAATAAAAATATAAATAGTGTATTAAATCAAATTTTCTTTTTTGGTCCCTCTTATAAGATACAATCTAGAAATATTTTTTGATCCTTAATGTAGGGTATTTATTATATTTTTTTAATATTATCCATATTTAAAATCATTAACTATGAGAGAGTGTAATATAAATTAAAATTTTATATTTATATAATAATAAAATTAAAAATTTATTATATTTTTATACTTAATTAATAATTTAAATATTTTTTCTTGAATAAAAACTAGATGGAGTAAATGAAAGGAAAAGGAAATGCTAACTGTGGATAAGAAATGTGCTAAATCACACGTGCAAGTACAGCTTCACTCTTCTGTCATTAATTTTGCAACAACAGGATGAAGCCTTGGTTTTTAAAAAAGTTACAATCTTACTTGTTCAATTGTCATAGTTAATTAATATTCTTAACAGTTAATTACATACTCCTCTTATTTTATTTATATAATAAAAAAGAGTAATTATTTTGATCCTATTCATAGAAGATAAGGTAATTGTTTTGAATCTAATTACAGGAAAGATAATATTTGTTTTAATCTTATTATAGCATATTTTAATAATTATTATGTCCAAATTTAACCATTTTCCTTATTAAATATTGTGAAGATTATTAAATATTAAAATATTTTATTTTTATATATATATATATATATTTAATAGGAGTAAATTTGAAAACTTGTTTAATTTTTAAATAGAGCTAGTAATATTAAATGCTTTTCTTGATTTAAATAAAAATATTAAATATTAAAATTAATTTATAAATAAGATTTAAAGGGTGATAAATTAATAATTAAGAAATCTTGAAGCCAAATAAAGCTACTTAAAATAAAATAAAAAATAAATATATTTTTTTTTAATTTGGGCGTGAGAAACATATAAACTAGAGCCGGTAATTTGGGTTAAACCCGATGAACCAGCTAGAACCCGCTTAAAAAATTTAAATCCAAGCCCAAAAAATATTAATATTTTAATGTTCGGGCTTATTTGGCCGCCCGAATAGGCCTGAAGAAATTTGGGCCAAGCCCGATCAGGTTTGGACTTGGCCCGAATACTCGAATTAAAAAATAATTTTTTTTAAAATATTTAAAATATGATAAATATTAATTAATTTTTTAATTTTTATGTTATTTATACTAAAAATACTATATATTTGAGTGTATTACTATAGTTATTTTTTTAAAAAAATGAAAATAGTTATAATTTCATATTTTTATTATTTTTAATCAATAAAATATGTCAAAATAATATTTAAAATATATTTTAATATTAATTTTTATATTTTTAAGACCCAATTTTTATGAAAAAAATTTAAATTCTACACATCATTTGTATATAAAAAATTAATTTTAGATTTTTTATAAAATAAGATAATTAATTTTAAAGTAAAAATAAAATCAAAAATAATTTTAAAAATAAAATTTAGGCATTTACAAATTTTCGACTCTACTACTAGATAAACAAAATAAATAGAACAATATTCTTAAATAATTACTTAATTATTGTCCATACTAGACTAGGTTAAATATTAAAAATAAATTAGAGTAAAAATTCTTTATATTTAAGGGTTAAATAATATAATTAAAATGATAAAGAAAAACAATTCAAAAAAATAATAATATTTTACTCATAATTAAATAATTTTTCTTTATATGATATAATGATAGCTATTTTTTTTACACTTATAAAAAAGAAAAGTACAATTTATTCAAAAGTTACTAAAATTTTTTAATTAATTGGGACAATAATTTTAAGTCAGTAGTCTAACTATGATTGAATTAAGATCAACTTGATCATAATTAAATAATATAATTTAATTAAAATATAAAAACATGTATATATGACTATGATAAGAACAGTATTTAAACAATTAAAATATTAATTTACAAGTAAAAGAAACATTTATGAATAAATTACACATAATACAACAAAATAGCAACAAAGTTATTTAAGTATAAAGTTGATAAATTATTTTTTATTTTATTCTTCTTAATTTTAAAATAATATTCTATGATTAATATAATTATTTAAAAATTAAAATTGGCTTAAAAAATCAACAAAAAAAATATTTTTTTTAAAGTTTCGGGTATTCGGGCCGGCCCGAATAAGTTTGAAACCTGAAGGTATTAGGGTTAGGTTTGGCTATATGAGCTTTTTAGAAGGAGTAAAATACTTTAAATCAGATCCAAATAAATCCAATCTAAATTAAACTCGATTAAACTCAATTTAAATAAACCCGACGTTCTCAAATTATCAACTTTAAATTATAAACGGTCTTGGTACAGAGCCACTTTCCTTACATCTTCATGGAAAGTACTTCAAACATTAAACCGCGTTCGAAAACTATAAAAAGTATATTTTATTGGGTCAAAAGGAATTCGCCATCCGCACATATTCATTGTTTCGTAGTACTTTCTTCCCTTGTTGGTAAAGGAAATTTTTAATTAATTTAAACCAGAAAAAAGCTCCTTGTAATCAGGACATAAAGAGTTCACATGATCATATCAGGGATAAAGGGGGAAAAAGAAAAATTTTAATTTAGCTTTTAATGAGATTTAATTTCAATAAAAAATTTTAAAATTTTTCTACATATGTAAAAGACTGAAATAAAATTAAATGATTGGCTACAATAATTTTATTGTTCTTGATAAAATTATGCACATAAATAATTTATGCAAAAAAATTAATAATTAATATATAAAAAATAAAAAATTTATGTTAGTAAAACTTACAGCTCTCATTAACAATAGTTATTAATTTTTCTATATGAATTGTTCATATTTTTAATTTTACCAGGATAATGAAATTATTTTAGTTAGCCCTTTAATTTTATTTTAGTCCACCACATATGTATAAAATTTTAAAATTTTAAAGATTTTAACTGAAATTAAATTAGTCCAAGGATTCTTCAGCAAAACGTTTCCAAAAGAACATTCGTATTTAAAGAATTTTCAAGACTTTTTAAAAAATTTTAATTACTTTAAACAAGAAAAGTAAAAAACCTAGCAAAAAATTGATGTTGACTTGTAGTCAGAAAGAGATGGGGACAAAAGTTTTTCATTATTTCGTGGAAATTTCTTGTCCACCGGCAGTTTTAACTCGTAATGAAAACAATGCCTCACTAGTCAAGGCTCATAGGCTCATTTTTCTACTTCCTGAAAATTTCCCTGTTAACTGCAATTTGAACAAAGGCTCAATACTCAGACTTTTTTTTTGTTGTGTCGATCTAATTCCCAGGATAAGCAAACTCTCCAAATCAGCTTCAAGTCTTCAACCTTTGATTTGATTTAGTCACTTCCACCAAGGTATTTATCTGATCTTTCTCCTTTGTTCTCTATCAACTTCAATGCTATTCTTTCTTTTTTGTCGCTAAGAAAAAGTCAACAACCTTTAAAACTTTGTTTTTTGTTTTTGGTGCTTCAGCAATGGGTGCGTCTGCTTCTACTTCTGCTTCTTCTTCCCAAGTGAAATATGAAATTTTCATCAGATTTAGAGGTTCAGACATCAGATTTGGTTTTCTCAACAATTTGACAACGGCGTTGCGTGGAAAGCAGATGGATGTCTATGTGGATGACAGGCTTGAGAGAGGGGATGAAATATCCTTGGCACTTGAGGGAGCCATAGAAGGATCAAAGATTGCGTTGGTCATATTCTCAAAAGATTATGCTTCTTCAAAGTGGTGCTTGCAAGAGCTTGTCAAAATCATGGAATGAAAGGCAGGGAATCAACAGATTGTGATTCCAATTTTTTACGATGTAGATCCAACAGATGTCAGGCATCAAAAAGGCACTTATGCAAAATCATTTAATGATCATGGACAGAGGTTCAAGGATAACATGGACAAGTTGAAAATGTGGAGATCTGTCTTGAAGAAAACCACAGCCTTATCTGGTCATCATTCATCAAAATTTCAGTAAGTTTTAACTATTCAATACATCATTTTATAGAGTTTCTAAAGCCCTTTCTTAGTTATCCCCAAAATGATTTAGAATATGGTAATACCAAATTATGTCTATGCATTTATTATTCTTATATCATGAGTAGGTTGTAATTTTGTTATATTTTATTTTGTTATATTTTATTTTTAATATGCCAGAAATGAATTACAGCTCATTGATGCAATAGTCCAAGGTGTCCTAATAAAATTGGAAGATAACAACGCAGATGTGCCAAAATCCCAGATTGTTGGATTCGATCAAAATCTCACCAGTGTTGAATCATTAATGAAAACTACATCACAAGAAGTTCAAGTTCTTGGTATTTGGAGTGTTGGTGGGATAGGCAAAACAACCCTGGCTCGAGCTACATTTGACAAATTCTCTTCTCAATTTGAAAGCTGTTGCTTCATAGAAAATGTGAGAGAGGAATCAACAAGGATCAATGGTTTGAATTATTTACGTCAAAAGCTTCTTGCTAAGCTATTAGACCAAGATGAAGACCTCCCCATAAATATGAACGATGCAAGGAGAAGGCTGTCGCGGAAAAAAGTCTTGATTGTGCTTGATGATGTGTCCAATTCAAAGCAATTAAAAGATCTAGCTGGACAACAACCTTACTTGGGACCTGGCAGTAGAGTAATTATAACAAGTAGAGATAATCATGTTTTTAGGAGTGTAGAGATTCATGATGAATTTTGAAGAATCACTAAACTTTTTAGTTTACATGCCTTCAAGCAAACTCACCCCAATACAGGATATGAAAAGCTATCAGAAATGATATTTGCCTATGCTAAAGGCATTCCTCTAGCTTTAGAAGTTTTGGGTTCCTATTTTCATTTTAGGGATAAGGCATACTGGGAGAGTGAGCTTGAGAAACTCAGACAATGTCTCTATCTAGAAATTCAAAATATATTGAAAGTTAGTTATGATGGATTAGATGTCATGGATCAAGAAATATTTTTAGAAATTGCATTTTTTTCACTGAAGAATGCAAAAATCACATTACTCAAGCTTGTGGTTTCACAATAGTTAGTGGAATTAAAAATGTCATGGATAAAGCTCTCATAAAAGCAAATCAGTATAGTGGAATTGTAATGCATGATTTGATATAGGAAATGGTTGAGCAAATAGTTCATGTGGAATGTATGAAACATCCTGCATTACGTAGCCAATTAAAAGATGCAGATGAAATTTGTGATGTATTAGAAAGTAACATGGTAAGTGAAATATATATCATTTTTATTTTTATTTTTATTTTTTGGGATAACTTTTTTAAATAATTAATATTATTTTTATTTTGTTTTTCAGGGAACTGATAAAATTGAAGGCATCATATTGGATTGGGATAGAATAAGACATTTATGATTGAGCCCTGAAACCTTCCAAAGATGAAAAATTTAAGAATTCTCAATTTTTTGTCCTAGGTTTCGGTACTATGATGCAAATAATTCAGGGCTTCCTTTTGATCTTGGCTTTCCTAATAAATTAAGGTATTTTCATTGGGATCTATATCCATTGGATCTTTGCCATTAGAAGGCTATTGTTTTGAGAACCTTGTTGTACTACGCATGGGACACAGCAATATTAAAAAGCTTTGGGATGGAGTGCAGGTACTTTATATATACACTAATTGATGTGTGTGTCTCTCTCTTCAATTTAATTAAATTATTAGGCTTTTATGTGTAAAATCTTTTCATTTCCATTGTCACAGGATCTTGTGAATTTAAAGAGATTAGATTTGAGTTAGTCCGAACAATTGATGGAGCTACCTAATTTCTCTAGGGCACGTAATCTTGAAGAGTTAGTTCTCACGGAGTGTGAAAGTTTACATAGTGTTCATCCATCCATTTTATCTCTCCAATCTCTTATTTTATTAGTTGTCTTTGGTTGTGGGAAATTAGAGAGTCTTGAAAGTGAGACTCATTTAGAATCTCTCTCTTACCTTGGTGTTTCACATTGCAAGAACCTCAAGAAATTCTGTTTGTCATCAAAGAAATTGGAAAACATATGTTTATTCAAATGCCGTGAAGTCAAAGGATTGCATTTTCTACCATCCGAAGGTTTTAAGGAACTCACAGGGCTTTATATTGATGATGGTGGAAGTTTAAGTAGCCTTCCAATAAGAGAGCTATGTGGCTTGACAAATCTTGAGGTATTTTCCATACAATATTTCTGGCAGGAAATTAACACAAGGGAGATGCACTCCCTTTTTTATGCTTGGCCTAATTTAAAAGAACTACGTTTGGTTAATTGGAGTTACTTGTCGGAAATCCCTGACAATATTAAGGGATTAACAAGCTTGAAAACCATATCATTGTATAGATGCAAGAGGCTTAAGTCTATACATAGACTTCCTCCCTTGCTTGAAGTATTAGATGCCAGAGAATGCACTTCATTGGAGGCTGTATATTCTAATGACCCTCTAGTTCAGAATCCGTGTTACTTTGATTTCACGAATTGTATAAAGTTGAATGAGCGTTTGGTTTGCTTTATTGAGAAACTAACTCTTTCTTCTTTAACTTTAACATGTATGGATGAGGATGAGGATAAGTATTTGTTGAATGGTGGTGAAGCTTGTTACCCAGGAAGTGGAGTTGCAAAGTGGATGAAATTTACATAAGGCAGAGAATCTTCCAATGCTATCGAATTCAATTGCAATCTCAAACAATACAACAACAACAACAACAACAACAACAACAAGCCTTTATCCCACTAGGTGGGGTCAGCTAAATGGATTGCAAGATGCCATTGTGCTCTATCATTTATCAAGCTTTTAGGAATATTATTAATTAAGAGATCGCATTCAACAACTTCCAAGAGTGTTCTCTTAGACCTTCCTCTACCTCTTTTAATCGGACTCAAAGTTATATGTTCCACTCTTCTCACTGGTGCCTCCCTTGGTCTTCTTTGTACATGCCCAAACCATCTCAACCAATTTTCTACCATTTTTTCCTCAATAGGTGCCACCCTCACTTTTTTGCGTACATGCTCATTTCGAATTTTATCTTTACGTGTATGTTCACACATCCATCGTAACATTCTCATCTTTGCTACTCCCACTTTATGCTCTTGCTGTCCCGTTAGAGCCCAGCATTCACTACTATATAACATTGTCAGTCTGATAGCAGTGCGATAAAACTTTCCTTTAAGTTTATTAGGCACCTTACAGTCGCAAATAACTCCTTTAGCTTTTCTCCAATTAAACCACCCAGCTTGAATTCTATGTGAAATATCTCCACTGATTTCGCTATTATTTTGAATAATGGCTCCCAAATATCTAAACTTTTTCACTTGAGGTATAATTTGATCTCTCAGTTTCACTTCCAAATTATTGTCGAATAGTCCTTTACCAAATTTACAATATAAATATTCTGTCTTACTTCTACTCAGATGAAAACCTTTCGACTCTAATGTCCTCCTCCATAACTCAAGTTTGCAATTAACCTCTTCTCTTGTCTCTGCTATAAGAACTATATCATCCGCGAAAAGCATACATTTTGGAATTTCCCCTTGAATATGTTCCATCAAAACATTTAAGATCAAGTTAGACAAATAAGAACTCAGAGATGATCCCTGATGTAGTCCAATCTTTATAGGAAAATCCTTTGTTTGACCACTAGGCGTTCTTATATTAGTTTTTACCCCCTCATACATATCTTGTATGGCTTTAATATAAGCAATCTGTTTCTCTTTTTTTCCAACGCTTTCCAAAGCACTTCTCTTGGTATATGGTCATAAGCTTTTTCCAAATCAATACATGTATAGATCTTTATCTTTACAACGATACTTTTCCATTAATCCCCTTAGTAGATAAATCGCCTCTGTAGTTGATCTACTTAGCATAAAACCAAACTGATTCTCAGAAATACTTGTCTCCAATCTCAACCTGTGCTCAATTACTTTCTCCCATAATTTCATTGTGTGACTTATGAGTTTAATCCCTCTATAGTTAGTACAATTCTGAATATCTCCTTTATATTTATAAATAGGAATTAATGTACTTCTTCTCCACTCATCAGGCATTTTCTTGGACCATAAAATCACATTAAATAACTTAGTTGACCATCTCACCCCTTCTTCACCTAAACATTTCCACGCTTTGATAGATATACAATCAGGTCCGTTGGCTCTACCATTTGTCATTTTCTTAAGAGCTTCCTTTGCCTTCTTATCATGTATTATTCGATAGAATGAAAAATTTTATTCTCCTTCACCAATTACTAAATCCTTCAAGTTACTAGATGAACTCTTTCCATCATTAAAAAGTTTAGAAAATTAAATCTCCTATCTATTTTTAATTTCATCATCTGTAACTAAAATTCTTCCCTCTTCATCCTTAATACACCTTACTTGTTCTAGATCTTTTGATTTTCTTTCCCTACTCTTGGCAATCTTATAAATATTTCACTCTCCTTCCTTCATCTCAAGACTCTTATAAAATTCTTCAAAAGCTTTAGAATGAGCTTCACCCATAGCTCTCTTAGTTTCCTTCTTAGCCATACGGTACCTTTCCCAATTTTCCTCATTGTTACACGAATGTATGGCTTTAAAACAGTTCTTCTTATTGATTTTGTCCTGTACACTATTATTCCACTATCAAGACTCCTTATCTCTTAGACCAGAACCTTTTGATTCTCCCAAAATTACTTTTGCAACCTCCCGTATCTTTTTAGCCATATCCTCCCATATGATATTAGCACTTCCCTGAGATTTTCAAATTCCTTTATCTAAAAGATTTCGCTTGAAAATATCTTACTTCTCATCTTTTAATTGCCACCACCTAATCCTTGGTGCTACTACTTATCGACATTTTTGGATTTTACTCATAATACACGTATCAAGGACTAGGACCCTATGTTGTGTCATTACAGCATCTCTGGGGATCACCTTGCAATTTTTACAAAGTCTTCTATCTGTGTTTCTAACCAAAAGAAAATCAATCTGTGACCTTGAGGCTCCACTTTTGTAAGTGATGAGATGCTCATCTCTTTTCTTGAAACAAGTGTTGGCAATCTTAAAATCATACGCCAATGAAAAATTAAAATCAAAACCACCATGCACCATCGCATACTAACTAGCTTCCCTCCCGACATGCCCATTAAAGTCTTCTCCAATAAAAATCTTTTCACTCTGGGTATGTGTCGAATCAACCCCTCCAGATCCTCCAAAAATAATTCCTTAAGACTGGCTTCTGTCCTGACTTGCGGCGCATAAGCGCTAACAATATTAACAGTCTTACGTCCAATTATCATTTTTAAGGAAATAATTCTGTCTCCAATTCTGCTAACTTCTACAACGTTCTTCTTTCACTCCTTATCTATAATGATGCCTACTCCATTGCGTGCACTTACTTTTCCTGTATACCAAAGTTTGAAACCTTGAATATCCTTAGCTTCTTCTCCACGCCATTTTGTTTCTTGCAGGCAAAGGATATTGATTTTCCTTTAAATAATAACCCCTACAACCTCTACAGATTTACAATTCAATGTCCCAACATTCCAAGTACCAAATCTAATTTTGCTCTCATAGACTAACTTTTTTAGCCGTGTGCATCCAAAATGATGCGGTAGCCCTTGCTCATTTAACACTACATTCGGGCGCCGATGCAGCAGCTCTAACTCACTTATCACTGTACTCGAGCCATGCAGCGCGTTACTTACGGGCAACGACCTAGCATTAACATTATAATGTCTATTGTC